ACCAGGGAAAGGCAGGCACTGAAATGATGATGTCTCTGCCTGGCACAGGTGGGTGGAACTGAGGGATAGCCCTTCTTCTATTGCAGGGCACAACCAAGAAGGCTGTGACTTGTACAGTTCTTCCAAGAATGCTTTTTGGGCAAAACTACAGTGCCATATCCTTTAGCAGGGAGGTGCAGCATGACACAGGAATATCAGAGTGGCCATTCAGTCAAACTGTAGTTTTCCTTCTGGGAGAGGCCTATGGCAGTGTCTGGGGGAAGTCGTGTAAGCAACAACACAGATTTGCTTGTCCACAGCTTCTGGCAAGGAGTAACTCTGTGTTGTAGGGTGTGTCTAGAGCACTGTGGTTTATTTTACTAACCCCCTGTACACAGTTCCCTTTTGGAACCACTCATCTGTCTGATGTGCAGAATGTGCTAAGCAATGCAATTCATGCTTCAGTAATACCTAACGTGGGGGAAAAGATGGTTCCCTTTTGTTTAAAATGCATGCTTTGTGTATAGGATGCTTAGCCCAGGGAGTCCTGAGACATCTGGGGCCATCTGCTGATATTAAAGTGTTCCAGTACACAGGATCAAGTATGGAATCAATAGAATGACTCAAAAGTATCTGGAGACAAAACACCCATTTTGTCTCTCATATCATCTCGTTTTGTGGTAATACTGGTTAATGTAAGACGTGCTCAGAAGCTCGTTGATGTTGATGAAGACTTCGATTCAAGGTTGTATCTGCAGGCCATGCCGCTTCAGAGAACTTCAGACCTTTGCAATTGCTTAATCCTGATTATTTATCACCTTATATCTTGAGATCTGATTGTAGAGGTAGCAAGACAGAAGGTGGGCAGTTGCATGTGTAGCCTGTAGAGAGAGGATGGAGGTTGTTTTGTTTAGATCAAGTGCCTTTAGCTTTGATTCATGCCTTCCTGCTTTGATACATACACGGTAGGGCAGTGGAACAGCTGTTGTGTTTGGCCAGACATAGACAGATTATATTTCAGGAGACCTTTAATTAAAGACAAGTACAAATAAATTGGTTTATATTCCACAGCTTTGCTTTAATTCTCCAAGGTTCCGTGTTGAAATGTATAAACAGTGCAGTGTCAGCAGTCAGGTATTTCTCTCAGAGCTCACTCCAGTTCCCCATGGCATGACAGCTGCCTGAACTCTGTGCTGCTGTGGGTGAGGAACCTCAGCTCCCGCCTGCACATCCTTTCTGGCTGGCACAGCCTGTGGCCAGGCTCATCTCTAGAAGCCACAGGAGCAGGGCTGCACAGCCTCCCTCAGGAGAGTAGTGACTGTAAGCAGTGCCAGCCCCTGGAAGCTGAGCAGTGTGGCTGAGTTGCTACCATTATTATTAGCAGGTATAGCAAGTCTAGGACTGCTTTTTCCTGGGTGTGACAATGTCCTTTGGAGAGCACAACACTGTCAGCAGTGGGGAAACAGTGATGCTCTGATCTGATACCAAAAGCCTTTCTCAGTTCTGAAAGAATGTTTGAGGATTTAGAATGATTCTTGTTGGTTCATTCTCCTTAAAGAATTAACACACAGGATGAGCTGTCAGGAGGTGTTAAAAACAGATGAGAGGGTCTCATCAAAATTTTTTTGTTTTGTTTTTCTACATTAGCAAGTAGTGCAGCCCAGGAGAAGCAGACAGTTATCAATGAGGACCTGATCTTCACACTGCACAAGTTTCATGAGAGTTTGTTTCAGACCACCATTAGTCCAGATTTATGGTTTATGAGCCACCTGCAATGGATCATTTGGGTTAGCTTTAGCCAGAAACAGTCTGGTTAGCCTGCTCTGTGTGCCCAGTGCCATGCACCATAGCACAGTAGGTGGGGACAGTCAGGAGTTTCATGCTCCTCATTTGAACTGACATTAACTTAGCCATGCCAAATGTGGAATTAGGACAAGGCAAACATGAGTGCATAGCTGTTGCTGTATGCTGAAACCAAAGGATCATTTAAGGTTCAGTGTACAGCATTTCTAAGAAAAATGAGCACCAGAAGCAGTGCAGCATCATGCACCCTGATCACCTCCCAGCTCTGCTTCAGTACCTGCTGGTGCATCCACAGTGCAGGGGCTCACAGTCAGTCTCCAAGCAGCTGGCTGCAGGTAAGCAGGGTACTACTTCTACCCCTGTAAGAGTACTAGAGAGCATGGAGTAAGAATAGATCTCTCATAGCTTGGTATCTGAATATCCCTCTACCATCAGATCCTGCTCTGAGCCCAGTGTAACTTCCAGAAGTGGTACAGGGAGAGTGATACAGTTCAAGAGTTGGGATTATGTTTTATTGTGGAATTATAAATGATAGGTAAGTTGTCACAAGCACTGCCACAGCCTGGCCTCCATAACATGCAGGGCTCTGACCAAAGGTCGGATCTGTCTCCTTGGCTGCATGAGAGTGATGTCTGCCAGCTGGAAGTTGTTAATGAAGGACACAGCACAATCACAGATTACTGTGATACTGTGAACACCCACCAGTGATTTCCTTGGCTTAATACATTGCTGCAGGGAAGGTACTTACTGCTGATTCTCCTTAAGAAAGAGTGAGCATGCTGCTGACACTGTGCTGTAACAAAGAGCTTTGTGGCAGTGTGTCAGAAGGTCCTGTGTCTCCCAGCAGTCCATCAAACATCGCATCGATGCGGTCAATACTGAAGGTATCAAACAGAACATACGTGCAAATAAAATGAATACAGAGCTGCAGCATGAAATTCATGAACTCATATCAGTCTTCAGTACCGTACAGTGGCTTGCAACTATATAAAAAAAATATGGCTGACTCTTTTCCAAACAAGAATTGTTTCTGCTAATTGTGGGGACCCCTTGCTAGAGATCCTACATCTTCTAGACAGCTAAGGTTATGCTAAGTATGTCTAGCCTTGATTTTTACTTCATACACACAATCACATTACTTCACAAGGACATATGGCTGAAAAACACTAAGCGGATTGTCAGAAGGCTTTAAACTTTCCCTCACTGACCTTAACTTGGAATAGCCTGTCCCAAACTGGATGCTGTATTTGGAAGCCCTGACTTTTTGATTAAAAGTGAGCTGCTTTCTGTCCCTAGGAGGGTTGCTGGCAGCAATGTTATCAAAGGATAGAAACTGCAGCCTGTGCTACTAAGAAAGCCTTGTCTTCAATCTTACATAGCCCAGAGGGGAGAGTGGAAGAGTCAGAATCTCAGTCTCAGAGAACTCTTAGGGGGTTGATCTTGATCTTTGTTTTATGCTGCCTTCCTCCATCTCTGGAAGAAGCTGCACATTTCTAGTCTAGGATAGATTTCATGTACTGGAATTCTTCCCAGAGTTGGCACAGCTTCAAAGGGTTTGAATCTTGGCTGTAGAACCCACATGCTGTTGCAAAGATCCTCAGGGAAAAATAGCTGGAAACGGACAAAAGAACAACAAAGCTACAGGGTCCTCCAGGAGGCTATACCCCACTGAGATGATTCCCCAAAAGCTGGTCATCCAAGCAAATCCCTCTCTCTGTTCCCCATCTCCTGTTGGTCACCACAAAGCATCCTAGCCCTTGGGTTCTCTGCAGGACACTTGACTTTCACAGAGTGCCCTGCTGTTCCCTTTGCTGGTGAGAGCCCTCCCTCTGATGCTGAGTTAGGACCTTAGCAGTGTTTCCTTAGTGGCATTTTCCTGTCTCTTCAAGGTCTCAGAGGAATCTTCATCTGCCAGAGCACTTCAGTCACTCACAGCAGCAAAAAGTTCTCATGATCTCAACTGTTGTCACTGTACAGAGAGCCCTGGAGATGAATGCTGAGTCCCTTCACCCTTCCCTTTACATGCATACTCTACTTCAGCCCCCTTTCAGGCTTTGCCATAAACATTAATTTCTGGGGTGATTTCTGATTTATTTCTGGGGTGTAGGGTGGAACACTTAGCAACACAGAGGACTGAGGCCCCAGAACAGCACTTGACACATCACTGATGTATCCACCTGTGTATCTACACAGCAGGTTGACAAATTTCTATCTACTCTGTAGGTGCAAAGTTCTGGGGGTTCTGCCTGCATAAAAGAGAAATTACCCAAGAAACTTGAACATGCATAAACTGGTGGTTATGAAACATGATTGGTCTTTAATCTCAAAAAGCTTGGGTCTGTTTCTACTTGGGTTGGGTTGTGAACTGTCAGCAAAAAAGCGGATCAAGAGCAGTGCTGAGGTTACCTGTGAAGTTTGTTGTAGCACTGAGGAAGGCTATTAGTTGGAAATGGAAGTTCAGTTCCAAATCAGATAGTAGCTTTAGCTCACAAGCCTGATCCTGCAAGCCTCACTCATTTAAGTGGCTGTCTTGCTTTCAGCAAGATTGGTGAAGCCAGCAGCTCTCAGTAGCTTGAGCCAAAAGTTTTTATAGATAACTACATCCAGGCTGGAGGGGAGAGGGAGAAGACAGACAAAGCAAAACTAATTGATTTTCCACAAGAATGCAGTAATAAAAATGAGATAGTAAGTGAGCCTTGTCCTTAAGGTTCCTGAATAGCTACTGAGTTAAAGGAAAGGCTACCACGTTTGGTAATAAATGGTGTCACAGACTGCAGGCATCAGCAGCAGTTACTACGGACACAGCTTCCAAGACAGACACAGGCAGGAAAAGAGAGATGGAAAAAAGAAGAAACAGTGGAATTAAAAAAGGATTAACTAGGCTTTTGAAAGATCAGTATCTAAAAACCTTATTCAGCATAGAGTTAGAAATCCTTGGTGTTCCGAAATTCTGGCATGCTCCAAATCCTCCTGTTGGGCTGAGTGCCCCGTTCCACATCCTCAGAGATGGTCTTGATGTCACTGATGAACGGGGAAATTCTGGACCGAGATTTAAATGTTGTTAAGGAGAGACTGGTTCTGTTCTTTGTGTTCCATTGCCTTGCAAGCTTCTTGGCCTCTTCCTCCTCTTTGATCTTCTCAGCAGCTTCCTGCAGGACGGAGCGGAAGAGCCGCGATACTTCCTGCGCTTCTGGTTCGTACTCCGCAACCACTTGCCTGAACCTGGAAGCACAGTCAAGGCACAGCTTTGATTAAAAACATCCAATTCCAGATTGCTGCCAAATCGCTGTGCTAGGCTTGGAACTTGCACTTTCCTACTAAATGGGACTCCCTGGACAGAAGGGAACAACAACAAGGAGGGGCCATGAAGATATGCCCGAGGTCTCTAAAATCACAAGCAAGCCAGGGAATGTAAGGAAGAGATGAATCACTGTTTCTTATAAGCACAAGAAATAATAGAACCAAACAAAGCTAGAAGGCAAGTTTGAAACAGAAGGAAGTGCTCTTTTCACACACCACCTGTTAAACCAGAACTCAATGCTATCAATAGCTTAAGAAACAAAATTATTGGACAAGTTTGTAGAAAATGTCCCCATCACTGCTGATTAAACTTGATTGTCCAAATGCACATCATTGCTCGAAGTAGTCCCTGAACTGCAGCTTACCAGAAGCTCAAGGTAGACCAGGGAAAGCCCTACATGACTTCCCCTGTTTTCCATTCTTGTTCCTGATAGCATTACCCAATGGCCTCTAGACAAATGAAAATCCAGTCAGTTTGGTAGTTTTCAATATTTAACTTTCCATGGTCCTTCATCTTCCTATGAATTTTTGGAACATAATGGACTGCCTCAGCTGAAAACATCTTGGTTAACAGCACAGTGCTCTAAGTAGATAACTTAATTACTTCAGTGCCTTCTCAGCAAAGCGCTCACAATAGAGTTTTTTTAAAATTTTATTACCCTAGCTTAGTACCAAGGAAGTGAAGAATCACCACTGTTTATTTTGCAGGTGAGGAGGATAAGATGCAGGGCAGAAGTTTTCTTGAAGCCACTGAATGGGCCACAGGCTGGGCAATGAAGAGCTCATGCCATTCCTGACCTTGTTGGGGGAATTGTACCCAGCCTGGAGAGTGTGGGGACCACTCCCAAGGCTCACCTTTTGGTCACGTAGATATTCTGATTGTTTTGTAATATACACATTTGTTACAGATGCTAATATGGCTACTCTTCTAATAAATAATCAGTTCCTAAGGTAAAATTATACCTGCAAGCAAACACAGAGCTAAACTAGTACTTCACCAAAATCCAGGTATTTGTACTGCAGGGAAGCTAAAGTGTATAAGGTAAGCATTTTGATAATTTCCTCCAGCAGAACTGAACAAGGATGGAAAACAGTAGGACTGTATTTAAATGAGCCCAATACAGCAGAAGCTGATAGCATAAGATATTGCCTCTTGGGTTTTTGCAAAGCCCCAGGAATGTAAGAAGGAGTTTAGCACATATAGAATTGCATTGCTTAATGGTGTGCCAAAGGATACCCAAGATAATAAGGACAGAAAGCAAGCCAGGGAGAAACCAGAAAAACTTTCTGTACGTTTATGTATTTTGACTCTGTATTGGCCACACATCTTGACACCCTGCTGTATCCCAGATATTTCTCTCCCAGCAAGAATTGGCACCTGCAGGTACAGTTGTGGAGGCACCAGTGTTGCTTGCTGAGGGAACTTGGTGTCAGCAGAAGCACCGGTCCCTTCCAGTGTCAAGCCAGAGCAGTTTGACACAAAACCTTCTAAAGTCACCAAAATGTTCCTTAACTGTTTCAGCTACTTTGGGTGAATTCTTAATCTCCCTCCTCTGCCCCCTCACCAAAAACCTCAACACTTTGAACATTTGGGTGAGGGAGTTCATGCTGGTTGTTTAAGTACTGACACAGTGATGCCAAACTGAATTGTGCAGAGCCTGGAAGGGAAAGAGATGATCTCTTGCTGAGGGTTAGCAAACAACAGCAGGAACTGGGATTTGTTGGACATTGCAAACTTCCTTTCTGTCTTCTGAGGAGGCACTTCAGTTGCATTATCAGAGAGCCCAAAATACAGTTTTCACAATAAGCACATGTTTCTCTTTATCCTATTTGAAGCATAGACAGACAAGTCCATAAAAACTCAAGTCTTCACAACATTATTATTATTATCCCAGGGAAAGCAGCTTCAAAGGATTTCTATTGCAGAGGTGAACTAAAATGAGTCATTCTGTTATTTTATCTCAAGGTGTGTTTTATTAAAGAGAGGTGCTATCACATATATATATATAAATATAAAATTACATCCTCTTTTGTATTGGCAATTGTGCACCCAAAAAGCCTGATCACTGCCTCCACTTTCAGAGGCTGTGTGTCATCCTGCTGGATTGTGGCCCCAGAGCAGGGAGCAGCATGCATCAGGCTATTACTGGGCCAGTGCCTGGCTCTGGGTATGAGAGGGGAAATGGGTGAAATGACAGCAAATACACCCCTGAGCAGAGAGCTCTAATGCTAATGCCCTGGTTGCTGATAATGCTCCCAACCAATCCAGCTGACATAGTTTTCTGGAACCAGGGTAACTTTCCACCTGCACAGCTATCTGGCTGTTTGCACTCTTCATAGCTTAGTTTTGTCTACTCTGCTGTTAAGATTTACCTCTAACTTTTCAGGACCAACACCAAAACTACTTTGTAAGGACTGTGCAGGTCTAAGAAACAAAGAGAAAGCAATTCAAAAGACTGCCAGTCACACAATATAAAGTCACCCTGATTCTGATGGAAAGGGGATCCTTTTCTCTCCCCTAACAGGATGAACTTCACCCCTTTATTAATGCCCACCTAACTTCAGTATCAGCACAATTGTGTAAGGGACAGCTCATGTAGGAAGTCCTAAAGGAGTGCACATCACAAATATTTCTCAACAGAAAAGGTGGACAGGTTATCAGGGCTGAGCTCCAGCTAAACCAGTCTGTCTATCAGAAAAAAAAAAAAAAAGATGTTTTTGCTGCAGACACCTACACACCACCAAAGCCATCTTCCTCAGGTATCAGTGAATTCCAGTTGATGTGCTGGATGCTCCAGCAGTCTGCTCTCTGCTCAGAACACCCGGTATATAAAACCAGAAAACCACTGGAATCAAGGACTATGGCCTTGTATCTTGGGAAACAAATTCCACACAAAGCTGCTCAGTGGGGTTAAGAACACAACATTGCACAAGGCTCACCTGTCTTCCAGCGCAGCTTACCCTTACTCTTTTGCATGGGATAGTTTCAAACTAGGCACCTGCACAACCACGTCCAGAAACACCTCAGCAGGACTCCCTTACTCATCCCAAAAGCAGAGCTCTCTGTCTTATTTGTGGCCCAAGCTATGGAAGTGCTGGTAGCGCTCCTGGAATACATCATGCACGTCACACAGTCTGAGACGTGACAAAACCTCACCTTGAACCAGCACAGATCTGGGGAGGATGAATAGGCATGCACAGGGATGAGCACATTCCCCAGTCCAGGCAGTGTTTGAATCACACTTCAAACAAATTTGTTCTTTGTGACCCTTTCATTGCTTTTTAGGGCAGATCTCAAGAATCCTGCTGTGCTTGGCTCATACTGGCACTGCTTTTTAAAGCACTATCACCTCTCTGTGTTATTCTGTAGGTCCCCTGTACAGTGGGTTCCCTGAGTACAGCCTGAACTTTAAAGACCTGTTAAATCCAATGAAACTCCATGGATTTAAACAATGTGCTTATAGTTCACGGTATTCCTGAATGCACGTCTGAATGGGGAGCTCTAAGTAGATTTAGTCATTCAAAGAAAACATGGGGTTGCTTAGTGCTAATAATTACCTGCTGACTCCTGAATCTATATTTTGAGCAGGAATTCTGGTTATAGGATAAAACTAGGAACAGCTTTGCTAGAGAAGGCTCCTTGACTCCCAAAGAATGACAGCATTCACACTAATTGCAACACTCATGTCACATCACCTTAAACATAAGCTTGTAATTGTAAATAAATCCATTTCTGATTTTAGCAATGTCTTACATTAAGTCTTACTAAGAAGCCCACCTCAGCTATATACAAGCCTCATAAAATTACAGTCCTTAGCCTGTGATATTGGTAACAACTCAGATCATTAAAATGCAGGTTTACATTTCCATACTAGGGAGTTTTTTGTTTCCCTCTGGGTACAGGAGGACAGAAACCAGCTGTTTCACTTTTGCTGAAACAGAAAGAAATTGAACAGACTTTAACTAGCTCTGACTAGGGTTAAAGCTCTGAGTAAGGATGGGAAAAATCTAGCATTTTTTTATTGGCAACATACCATTCTACTTGTTCAGTTTAACCACAGCAGTTAGGTACTACAGATCTCACCAAATTAACTGTCATTCATTTCCTTCAGCTGGTTCCAGGATTTAATTTTAATTTTAGCAGCAATCTCTAACCCTGTAACCTAAAGCTAAGTTACTCCTGAATGCAAAGGCTTTATTTGCATGAGGTGAATCAGTCTCCAGATATCTGATGCTATTTGCAGTGTATTTGAATCCTTCCAGAATTCCAAGAGCCTCAAAGAGAAGTTTCTATTGACCCAAAATACAAAATAGGCAATCTGGATCTGAGAAAAAACCTCTTTAATTTGTGAAGTTCTCCTTTCCAGCCTCCTCCACATCTAAAGAAACAAATTTGGAGAAACTTTGTCTCTCAGTAAATGAGCCCGTACCCACAGAAAAGGACAGTTTGGATAATCATTTAGACATTTAGAGAACAAACTGACATCTCTGGCAACTCATATAAAAATGTTTTGTTCTGGCTTTGACTCTGAGCTCAGAGTCTCACGAAGAAGGAGACCTTGCATGACACAAAACAAACTCTGCAAGATGCCTACTACTTGTGTTATTGAAGAATTATGTGCTTGTCGAGTGCAAAAAAGGACTTCAAAAAGGACCTCAGCTCTTCAAATATCTAAAATGGAAGGGAAAATATCAAGCTTACTATTTTAGTCAGAACCAAAGACTTTGGTAGGGTGCATGTTCTGCATTTGAATTTCCCAATGCAAGCTCACAAACTATTTCAGTGGAAGATTTTTCTAAAAGCTGCTACGTATTAGGAAGTCACAGAGTACTTGAGAGAAAACATCAGCACTGCAATGATCTTATTATTCAAGTACTTCACTGGATATGTGGAGGTTACATTGCATTCCTATTATACTCATCTTGTGGAATTTTGGGGAAGTTACAAAAATCTCCATTTGATCTCACTTTCTGAAAAGAGAATTTATCCAATTTTGGCTTTCATTTAAATTGCAGGCTCTTTCTTTTTTCTCTTTCTTTCTCCTGTATATTTTCACCTCCTAACATGTCAAGCCCCATTCTTTTTCTTTGTTTCCTCATCAGCAATGAAAATTCCATGGAATGTCAGAGCCGTCAGTTTGAAGGCAGAAAAAAAGAGGGGTCAACTCCTAATATTTCCAACACAAGGTGAAAGGATTATCAAATAAAACTGGGATGCATTAGCTTAAGACAAGGTAAACACAGTTTTTTGTAACAGTTGTAGTTCAGGACTGGAACTCTGCCACAGGGCACCAAAATGTTATAAATTTACATGTGTTAAAAAAAAAAAAAAAAGGCCTCCACAACCTAAACAACTGAAAGAAAAAGCCACATCAGCCAATTATGGACAAAAGGTCCACTTGTGGCTCCAAAAGTCAAAATTCTCCCAGCAACAAGGCACAGTAAGTTGGATGCTATATATGAAGTGTAATTGTCCCTTCTGTTGGATTTGCTTCCTTGTCCTTTGCTCTTTTCCTTACACCAATGCCACTGGCCTTTCTGTCACATACAGACTGCTCATCAGATCAGCCAGACCTTTGACACAATCCAGTTCCACCATTTTTGTGGCTGTGATAGTCCCTTCTCAGTCACAGAACTGAACCAACAAAGGTTATGAAATCCTCAGGGTGCTTTTTTAGTGTGGCTCTGCTCACCATACAAGCTCTGTAACACATGCCACTTCTCGAGTCATAGGGGAATACAATTAATGACAGCACCCTATTTGTAAGAGGAGTTTTAAGAGGATGGTTTAGCCATTTTCAATCATGCCCACACAGAGTCCCCTAACGCTGTTGAGTACATTTATCTACTGCCATCAGTATGCTGGATCCTGAACAACAGAGAACAACCATTACAGGCTGCACTGAAATCATACCTCTTGCATTATCTGTCTCAATCAGAAAATAATAGCAGAGCAGCAAGTTGTATATGGCTCAGCCTAATACTTTCCTGAAGAGGATGAACCTTGGGGCCTCTCTGCTCCAGCAACCAAAGCCTGCTGTCATGGAAATAACCTGTTAGCCAGACAGGCCTTGCTCAGGGGCCCTGGGGATGGTAAAGATGGCTGTGAATCCCAAGGGTTTGAAGTGGCTTGTTTACAGCATAGCTTGGAGTTACACAACTACAGGGCAGGTGCTGTTCCCAGCAAATTTTCACTGGAGAGGTCTTGGTCACTGAATGATCCCAAATTCTGCAATCATGGCAACCTTTGCAAGAGCCAAGGCTCTATGTGCCTGGTTGCTTCCGAGGTTCAGCCCCAGGGAAGATGAGGTCTAGAGAGGTAAATTTGGCATTCTTTCCTGGCTACATCCACTGTAAGACAGAGGACCAGCTATTTCCAGCACTTTTACAGTTGCAATTCAGAGGCCATAGATTCATTTGTTTGAGGGAAAACAGGAGCCAGCATATGCACTGAGGGACTACAGGGTGCCAAGAGCCCTCTTTGTACATCCTGTAAGGACTGTGTTCGCTCTAATCCCAGCTGAAGAACATGTTGGAACAGGGGAAGTTGATTATAAAGGCCCATTTCACAACTTTGCTTTGGCTAAGATGCACTACAGAGTCACTCTTCCTCACTTTGCCAAGTTTGCCTTCACTGTGCCAAGTGCAAGAGTTTATCTTAGAACAGCCACCCCAAAAGGAAAGGAGACACACCCTTCCCTTCCAGTCTGGATGCTACAGCAGGCTTAGGTCAATTTCTAAAGGCATTTTCACAGGAGGTCACTCAGCTGGCAGGCAGCAATCCTAAGTGCTACAGCATTTGAAAGGCTCAACAGCAAGAGAAGCTGTGTGTACATCTACACTGCAGAAGTGAGAAGCACCACTTGGCTGTTCAAACTAACACATCCTCAGCTGCATCCCATGATGCATAGAGTCTAGGATGAAGAGGGAGGGTAGGGAAGGGAGACATTCTCTGGGAACACCTGGCTCACAGGCTGAAAAAAATAATAGTACCTTTAGGCTAGTTTGGACACTGGGGACAAGTGCCTCAATAGACCTGCTGGACAGCTTAAATCCAGGAATGAAGGCTCCAGTGACATGGGGAAACACCAAAGGAGGTTGTTCAGAGGCTGTGGAACCTCTGCCCTCAGAGATATTCAACAGTGGACAGACCCTAAGCAACATGATCTAACTTTGAAGGTGGCCCTACTCCAAGTAGGAGGTGGAAGTACATCCCTCTAGAGGTCCCTTTAAACCTCAGTTTCTCTAAGATTCTAAAGTCTGAAGCAAAAAAAAAAGAAGTCAGCACAATACTGAGATGGAACCTGCTCATCAGGCAAGGTAAAGCTGCTCTGGCTACACAGGAGCTTAAAGTACTCAAGCCAATGTCAGAGGGAAATGGCATTCTGTAGCTTCTTGGGGGAAATGATATTGTTAAACTGACTTAAAGCATTAGATTTCCCTTCTTTGACGAGGACACTATCGTGAGTATGACTCATGATACAGGATGCCAAGTTCTGGTTCTGTTGTGAGCAGCTCTCACTCTCTCCTCACACATCATCAAGAGGAAAGGGAGAAAGGAAAGCTCTTTCTCATGCCATCTTTTACTGTACCTGAGTATGACAGGCCCACAGTAGGAAGGATGTATTTTGGTGCACATGTCCTCCAGCTGCAGCCGTTCCCCGGGGCTGATGTCGTAGCCCTGCTTTGGGT